GAGGCAGGTAGACCAGTTAAGAACTATTTAAAAGAGTCTGCTGACAGACCTCCTTGTCTTTATCTCTTGCCTTGCCAACCCTTAACCCAAAGAGCCACTAGTTATCTTCCTAAAACAGCTTGACTGACGACATTTCCCCTCCCTCAGAAACCCTCGTTGGCTCCTCAATTGTATTGTCCAGGAAATACAATTTATATTCCTTCTACTATTAACACTAGATTGTCTATATCTGGGTTTGACATTTTGTCTACAAAAGATGTATCTGGACCCTCTCCACTATGGTGTGAAAATTGTGCTGTTTTGATGATGGTCCCTTACTAGTTGAAGGCCCTCCCATAGCTTATATCTCAACAAACTCTATGGCAATAGAGAAGGGACTTTCTTGTCTTACTATCTGTACAACATAGCACGAACTATACTCTAGAATTAAGACCTTGATTCAAATCCCACCTCTGTTATTCACTAGCTAAGACTGTGAACATATTTCGTCTTCCCTTTGAATCTGTTTTCTTGTCTGTCAAATGGAGGTGATAATTCTGATGTCATATGGCTGTTGTGGGTTTTAAATGAGACAATCACGTAAGTTCCTTGGTATGGGGCCAGGCCCGGAGATAATATTCAATAGCTACGAATTCTTATCACGAAGCCAAAATACATTTTTTAAAACATAAATGAGAAAAAACCTCAGTGCTAAAACAGTCACTGGGGAGCCAGAGAGACTGACTTCCAACTGCCTCAGATTAACACCAATGTTGTTTCCCTTGTACAGATAACAAAAAACTTCCTTTTTCATTCCTCAGTCTAGTCTCCAGTTAATCCTGAAATTGTATGCAACCCAACGTGAATCAAATAAAAAAGGAAAACAGTAATTATGCTGAATCAGACATTTTATATTTATATGTTCTAACCAGAGATTGAGCTGCATAAGCCAGAACTTCTACTAAATTCTTTCTTGAACATGCCCAGAGGATACCTCCTGTAAAAGACTTGGGACAATTTCTATAGTGATATTATACCCTCTCCAAGTGAAACACAGAGCCAAACTGATGATTCCAACAAGATAAGAGATCACAAATTCATTGCAAAATCCAACACATTACTTAAGGTGTGGAAGGGGGAATATAAATCTTAAAGACACATACTGTGTGTGTCTATATATGACTCACTATTAGAAAAGACAGTATTGCTACCTCTCTAACACACATACACGCACACCTTTTTCCATATAATCCTAACAGCCTATAGGAGTCCTGGAATCCTCTGTGTATATGCATATGAGTGTGTGGGTTTGGCACGTGATCATAAGTGCATTGCTCATGAATGCAAAAGGGAACAAGAAATAAAAACTCCAAAATTGCAACTAAGGCACAAAGTTCTGAGTATCATTCAATGTCATTGTGAAGGGGACCTTTGGCAAGTTCAAGAACATTTCTAATCCATTGCCCCACTCTGTTTTTTTGAGACGGAGTCTCACTCTGTCACCAGGCTGGAGTGCAATGGCACAATCTCAGCTCACTGCAACCTCTGCTTCCCGGGTTCAAGCGATTCTCCTGCCTCAGCCTCCTGAGTAGCTGGGACTACAGGTGCATGCTGCCATGCCCAGCTACTTTTTGTATTTTTAGTAGAGACAGGGTTTTACCATGTTGGCCAGGATGGTCTCGATCTCTTGACCTCGTGATCTGCCTGCCTCGGCCTCCCAAAGTGCTGGGATTACAGGTATGAGCCACCGCGCCCGGCCACTTAGCTCTTAAAAACAATTTCAAAATGCATGAGTAATAAAATGCCCATTGTTGTACACCCTTTACCCTCTGTTTTTATGGAGGGGGGGCAAAACAAAAAAGGTTAGATTTTTAAACTTACTATCACCAGCATTACTAGTTAATATTCTATAGTATTAGAGACCTAAATCTCTTCTCCCTTGGAAATGCCTGGGCACTCCCTTATCATCATCTGTATCACTCATATGGTACTTACACACTGTGTTGTATTCTAATTTTGTGTGTGCCTGGCTGGCCTCAGCATTATTTGAAAAGTACAGCGGTCAAGCAGACAGGCAATGCAGAACCTCAGTTGGAAACCCCTGTCAGCATGATGTACTCCCTGACACCCTTGAGAGCACATCAGATTATCCTAATTATGATCTATAAAGACTGAGACTCCTTCAGAACATGGCGCATTCTTAAAGCCTGTTCAAACCTCTAGAAGGCAAGTGCAAGGCCATCTGGAATAAAACATTAAACTTGGGCTAAGCGTGGAGCTCAATGAGCTAGGCACCCAGACTTTGTGATACTTCACCTGGAAAATGATCCTGGGTGTTTTACACAGAAAAAAACACATCCCCCATCCCAGGGTAAGTGCCGGGCAATTAATCCATTCAGACCTAGGCTGAATACAAGTCACTATATTGACTATCCCCCTTAAAAAATGACCAAAATTATCTTAGTGTAGCCCAGAGAAGACAAGGCTAATGTATGCATCTGGAGAGGCCAGGGTGATGGTAAAGATTACGCCTATTTCTATACTGGCCGTCTAAAGGTATTTACTTGGGTCTGTCTGTGTTGTGACAGTGTCCTAGACTCAAATGAATGCCTCTAACACTCCACATTTTTGAGCCATTCAGTCATGCATTTTTGTTATTGTTGAAAGTGGTGCGAAATTGCACTGCATGAGCTAAAGTCCTTGGTGGTCTTCCAAGGATTCCAGCTAAAAAGGCACTTCCTTTGTTCCTCAGGAGAATGCAGTCCAGTAGGTCATTCAAAAGGGGAAATAAAAGCAGCAGCCCTGGGAGGGAGATGAAGGACAAGACAAAAAGAATAAAATGTTTTGGGTGTGAGCACATTAGCTTCCATTTCCTGCTGCTGGTCACTAATAACTCCCCTATCTTTGGCATGGGGGAATGTCCAGATGGACATATATGCAAAATATCCCTCAGGTGTTTTCTGGGGATGATGAGATGACAATCAAAGGGAACACCTAGGACAGAGTCTGTGAGCACTCTTCAAGCTTCCTTTTTCCTGAGATGCTGGCTGGGGAAGATGCTCTGCCCCAGCGAAAGACTGCACAGAGCAAAGTCGGAGAAACTGGGGAGGGCAATTTCACAGCCCACTCCCTGAATGCCTGCAGTCAATATCAAAGGCACATATTGTTCGCATGAGCAGAAGATGAAACCTTGTCACATTCCCATTAAGTGCAGAGCTGCATCTACCCCTTCAAAATGTGGGAATGACAACTGTAACCTTCACGCCAATCATCTCCGCTGTGCCCGGGCCTAAACTGTGTAGGGCACAAAGGCCCCAGGTTTGACCTGCAGAGCCCCCAAGCTTCAGTGCCAGCCGGTTCACTTCACTTTTTCTGGCGGGGCGGGAGGAAGGGAAAGAAAGAGGGCTTTTCAGGGCTCTACAACCAATAAAATCGTGCCGCTTTGAGGACATATTTGAGCTCCCCAAAAGACAGGCAGTTGAAGGGCAAACAGTGTCTAATCAGTAGTGAGCACGTTATTTGGTAACTGCCAAGGTGCACTGGGCACCTGGGCTGCTCCAACAATTTATTTCTTCGGTTCTATTTCCATACAGATGCCAGTTACACTCCAAAAGTGCCCAGCAACTTCCCTCAATTACCTTTGTAATGTATATGAAATTGATGACTGCACTTAATCTCCAAGGTTATTAATAGCCCTTCCAAAAAATGACCCCCAAGTCTTCCTAGGCCTTTGGAAGCGCCTGGTTGAAATTACAGTATTTCCTTTGCTGGCTGGCGGTCCCCTGCCCGCCCCACCCGGCGACCAGCACCGCAAGGCAAAGGCGCGCTCCACTCCTGAAAAGTTCGGAGTGGAGGCTCGGCCTCCCGGGCTCGAATCTCTCACTTCTCCGTTAAATTACGCTGGCCATCAGCCAGCTAGATTTGTGGTGCTTTCTGAACCCCCAGGGCAAACGGGCTACCTGAGCGGCCGGCGGGGCTGCGCGCAACAGTTGGCCGTTGCGAAGAAGTAAGTGCGACTCGGAGGGGACCCCGCCGAACGCCGCCGGCGTCCTTGCCGGGAGGGACTTCAGGACACCAGCCGAACGCTGCCTCCCCAGCGCTCTAAGAGGGGTTTTCACAAATACCCCAATACACCCCCATCCCACCCCACTGGCGCCAAAATCCGGTGAACTTTTTCACAGGCTAAGCCGTCTCCATTTGCATAACCATCTCCAAACTGAGATTCAGGTTTCCTGTAATCAGTCCTTTCAAAGGTCTGTAATTGAAAGAGCAATTAACCCTTAAAATGAGGTAAGAAAAAAGAAAGGGGAAAAATACCTTCTGGTCCGATACCTCCCGGAAAGTAAGAGTTCCCAAAAGTCAGGGTTTGGAGAGGTGGAGAGTAAGGGCAGTCGTTTGCTTTTTAAAGGCGACTTCTAAAGCCGCTGCAGCTACTAAAACTCCTAATCCGTGTCAGCGGTGCAAAAGAGGCGCGGAGAGCGTTTTAAAAGAACATCAATGAAACATCAAGTTCCACGTTTTGTGACCCCCAGAATCTGGCAAGCTCCGGGAGGTTTCCATCTACCACACCCCACTGGCGACCCCCACCTCCCCCGGCCTCTCGTCACCCATACAACAAAGCGGGGCGTCCTGTAAGGAGTTCAACCCGGAAAAGACGAGGGAGCCGGTGACACGCACTTTGAGGGCCAGAGTCCTCAGGGGCTTCCTGGGACCGAGAACGGTGCGGGAGAAGGGGAAGCGGAGGGTGGGAGTGGAGCGCGACAGTGGCACCGGGCAACCCGGCGTCGCCCCTCCACTCGCAGTGCTAGGGGAGGAGGGAGCGCCGCGCCCGCGGAGAACGTCCTGCGCCAGGGCTGGCTGGCTGGCCGGCTCGCTCGTTCGCTCCTGCTCTCTCTACTGCCCATTTCTCTCTCTAGTGTACCTGCGTCCGGCGCAGGGGGTGGCGGGGCGGGGAAAGGGGGTCGCGTCCCCTTTCCAGAGGTGTCGGTCTCTGCACCCACCTCCCGGGGGTGCCCACCTACCGTTGATCTCGTGCAGGGGGGCATCGTTCTTGTTGAAGCCTTTGGACATGTAGAGACGTCGCACTTCCGAGCAACTTTTCGACTTGAGCTCGGCAGCCAGCAGCGCGGCGCTGAGCACCGCCAGGGTGCAGAGAAGCGCGGGCAAGCCGAACCGTGCCATGGTGCGGGCCGGGGCGGACGCACTCCCACCTTTGGGACGGGACGGGAAGCGTCGCTACGGCAGCCGGCCGAGGGCTGGCGGAGTCAGGGACTAGCGAGTGGAGCTAGAGGGCGAATGAGTTGGAGTTGTGGAGGAGGCAAGCAGGCGGAGGAGACGCGGGGCGAAAAGTGAAGCTGGGCCTCGCGTCAGGCAACGGTCCCCGGTGCCAGGCGCCTGGCCAGAGGAGAAGGAGGGCGTGGAGGCGGCGCGCGGCCCAAGGGAGCAGAGGTGCGGGCCGGTGACCTCAGGGTTCCGCGGGGAAGCGAACCCGGCAAGGTGGCCGGCCGGCGAGGCGGAGACACAGGGAAGGAGGGGAAGGTAGCAGGCGCCGCGGGGACCGCGGAGGGTGTGGGCAGCGGCAGGCGCTCGCTGCGCGCTGCTCCGGCTGCCCTGCGCTGGTCCGCTCGTTCGGCTGGATTCGGCTCGGTTGCCTCTGCCCTCCGCCGCGCGGCTGTACCCTTCTCAGCTCTGTCGCTGATTGACTGGCCGGCGTGCGCCGCGACGCTCGCAAACTTGGCCAAGCGGGCGGCACTCGGGGGGAGAGGGGGCGGGCGTCGGGGGGGCCGGAGACAGGCGGGAGCAAGCTGGGCCGGGCCGGGAGAAAACCTGGAAGTGGGGTTGGATCCGGAGCGGCCAAATCCACTTCCTAGGGGGCCGCACCGGGCGCCCGGCGCTCTTTCGTGCGACACGCCCCACCCGGCTCCTCCTTCCTCCCCTCCTCCCCGGAGGCGGGGAGCCAGCCTACCGCCCCCCAACCGCAGAGGGAACGCCAACTACTCCGGGCTGAAGGGCCCAAGTCCCGGGGAACCGGGCTGCCTGGGACTTGTCTCGAAGCCCACGTCTGAGTCGCAGGCCTTCTTGCGCTCGGCTACCTGACCCACCGCCTGCGGGCAAAAGCCGCGCAGAGCCCTCCCGCGGCGATATCCGCCGCCATCCCGCACCCGCGGACATTCGTATCCGCGCAGCTCCGGGGCTGAGCGGGGAAGGCGCCCACATTAGTTGCATTGTTTCGCTGCAGGCAGTAGGGGGATTTGGGGCTCCGAGCTCGTCCTAGAGCCTCACCTGGTCTTCCCAAACCTGCTTCCCATCGGACAGTACTCGTGAAACACTAATTTGTCCAGGACCCCGGCAGGCATTCTTCCCTCATCCGCTACACTACAACCCTCGACGCCACTCCCATCCCCCACCCGGTTCTACTACAAATCGAACCGAACCCTGAAGCGGGAGAAATCCCCAACCGCGAGGTGAGGCGGCAAAGTCAGGGCTGACCGCAGAGATCTTGGAGACCATTTGGCTCAACCCTTGTTTCTATTAGGTAGGGGAACTGGGGCCCAGAAAAGGGAAGCGACTTGCTAATAATAGCACGCACGGGAAGGGGGTGTCCAGAACCCAGGACTCTTGACTCCCGAATTTCATGAAATAATGGTAGCCCAGGATCCCCAATGCCCCTACCCTCCCCAAGCCCCTTGAGGGAGACTGACACCCCTCTGAGACTCAGTCCCCACTTTTCCACCGGCAAACTGGAAATGGGCGAGTATTCCCATCTTGCAAGCTTTGTCAGGTTCCATTAATGAGTGTTTTTTGAAGCTCCCATGGCTCCTTAAATGAAGGGAACTGTGCAGATCGAGAACTTGTCATTATCATTGTTATTGTTACAATCTGCTTTAAGAGGTTAGGGTGAGAAGTGCCTCAGACACCTCGGGAGTGTGCTGGGAACTGGGCAGATAAAAAGGGCTGGAACTTATTATTTGGCCAGACTCTCAATTCCCATAAAATTACATAGGGCAAGGATATGAACCATCATTACAGTTATCACCCTCAGAGGGTTTGTTGAGCTTTCTCCACTGTTGTTTGTAAACCACGTTGACATGGCTGGCTATGAGGAGCTGTTGTTTTGAATGCCCAGTTGCAGACTCTTCTATGTTTTGTTAAATTTCACAGACCATCAACATAAACAGATAGTGACCTGTCTACAACTGGGACTTCCAATTTCTGTGTGCTGGCACAGCATTTAACTCTGAAACTAGGAGGGCAGGTTTTTTAAATGTACAAGGTCAACTGCAGTTGAATTTCCTGTCATTTTCGAGGGACTTTCAAATAATCCAAGTTTTCCTTAAACTGATAACCATCAAGTCGTGAAGGCATTGCTAGGGCTTAGCTGAGCACTTTGAATTTTCATTGATTGATGCATTTACTTGAAGATGTTCTTCACCAAGGAGAATGGGCTCTGAGATGCAAGCAACATTAGTATAAAATGGAAACCAGTAACCATAAGAGAGAAAATTATACTCCTAACCCATGAAGGCCAAATCAGAAACGTGCTTCTCACACCAAGGCTGGGAGGAACTCATTCCTTGCTGCCCCCTCCCACCCTAAGTTTACTCCTGCTCTTCCTCTTACTGTATTATTAACCCAAACTTGAGCGTTTTCTACCAGAAACAGTAACCTCTGGCTACAAACAGATCTGGACAAGCCTGAACTTTACCTAGGGAGGCAGGAACCCCAAGCCCTGCTCAGAAGTGGCTCCCACTTCAAAGCCTCCTTTCATTTAAATACAAACAGGGTGAACGACTGGCAATCTACGAAACAAATACCATCCATAAGGAAAACTTTTCAGATGGGCCAGGAAAACTTTTCAGATGGGCCAGAGCTCCTTCTTCCCTCTCCCACCCCCATCCCAGTTATCTTCAGAAGAGGCTTCTTAGTGGAGATGCAGCTACTCCTTGCAAGTTCTCTCAACGCCAAAAAATGAATTGAAGGCTGCGTGTTGAATGCAAAAATCAATGCCTTCTCAAGCTGATTAACCTTCATATAACCCTTTTTTGACTGTTTAGAATTGTGGTAAAATGCACACACATGAAATTTGGTACCATTTTAACCTTTTCAAATGTACAATTCTGTGGCATTTAGCACAATCATAATGTACAACCATCACCACTAGCTACAGAACATTTTCATCACTCCGAAAGGAGACCACATACCCATTAAACATTCCAAGTTCAGTCTCTTCTCCCTACAAACCACTAATCTGCTTTGTCTCCATGGATTTGCCTATTCCAGACATTTTGTAGAAATGGAATCATACAATACGGGGCTTTTGTGTCTGGCTTCATTGTGTTTTCAGGGTCCATCCATATGGTATCACATATCAGTACTTCATCCCTTTTTATGACTGAATAATGTTCCATTTACAGATATACCACATTTTGGTGGTATAGCACTTTACAAGTTTGCACAGTGCTTCCAGGTGCACCCTTGTACCTTAGAACATTTTGGTTTTTGGATTGTTTTTTGTTTTTAATTGATAAGCAAACCAAGTCTCAGCAAGGTTCTGTGGCTTGTCTGCAGCCACAGAGATCTTGGGTGGCTGAACCAAGACTGAAATCTAAGGCCTCTTATCAAATCCCATGCTATTTTTGTTGGTGGTGGTGGTAGTGGTGGACATGGTGGTCAGAGAACACAGTGCTCTGGGTCTCTTAGAGTCAGCAGTGAATGTACAACTACCAAGGTCCTGTGAAAGTATCCTTGTTTTAGATTGATAAATGTTCATTGAGCACATCCTATGTGCCCGACAATGCTCAGTCCTAGAGGGAGGGAAGTTGTATAAGCCAAAAGGAGTTTACAGTTTTACAAGCAGTATATAAAGGCTTACTTAGATAGAATGCGCTAATGGTATACTTATTTTTCCCAGCTCAGGAGTTTCCCCTGATGTGAACTGGGAGGGGGAGGGTACATTTGCTGGTGGGTAGAGAGAACAAAGAATGTATTCCCATGCTTCTGTCCTCCAAGCCAAGAGAACTGGTTGGGCCACATCTACTCTCTCAGCTTTGAGGACGCTTCTCATAGCCTGCTGGGGAGCAACCCTGATTGCCAAATATGGGGCTGGGAAGAACCAAGGCTGGGCAGGTAGTTCATATTTGTTGGGAGGCCGAGGCAGGAGGATTGCTTGAGCCTAGGAGTTCAAGACCAGCCTAGGCAACATAGACTCTGTCTCTAAAACAAAATTAAAAATTAGCCAGGGCCGGGTGCAGTGGCTCAAGCCTGTAATCCAAGCACTTTGGGAGGCCGAGGCGGGTGGATCACGAGGTCAAGTGATCGAGACCATCCTGGTCAACATGGTGAAACCCCGTCTCTACTCAAAATACAAAAAATTAGCTGGGCATGGTGGCATGTGCCTATAATCGCAGCTACTCAGGAGGCTGAGGCAGGAGAATTGCCTGAACCCAGGAAGTGGAGGTTGCGGTGAGCCGAGATCGCACCATTGCACTCCAGCCTGGGTAACGAGCGAAACTCCGTCTCAAAAAAAAAAAAAAAAAAAAAAAAAAAATTTAGCCAGGCATGGTAGTGCACACCTGTGGTCCCAGCTACTTGGGAGGCTGAGGCAGGAGGATCACTTGAGCCTGGGAGGTAAAGTAAGATGTGGTCACACCAGTGCACTCCAGCCTGGGTAACAGCGTGAGACCCTGTTTCAGAAAAAAAGAAAGAGAGAAAGGGAGAAAGTGGGAAAGGGGAAAGGGAGAAAAGAAAAGAAGGAAGGAAGCTTCCTCCCTTAGGATAAGGTGTTGGCCTTTAGCCCTCCATCTTTCCTCTTATCCAGCCCATTCCCCACACAGCCATCAGAGTGAGGCTTTGGCAACATCAACTGGACAATGTCCTTCTGGCTGATTTTTGTATTTTTGTAGAGACATTTTGCCATGTTGCCCAGGCTGGTCTTGAACTCCTGGGCTCAAGTGATCCTCCCACCTTGGCCTCCCAAAGTGCTAGGATTATAGGTGTGAACCACAGTGCCTGCACCACACCCCCAACTGCCTTAAAAAACAACAACAAAAAAAAAACAGGCTCTGTTGCCTAGGCTGGAGTACAGTTTCCACCTCCTTGAGCTCAAGTGATCCTCCCAGCTCAGCCTCCCAAGTAGCTGGGCTACAGGCATATGCCACCATGCCCAGCTAATTTAATTTTGTAGAGACAGGGTTTCACCATTTTGCTTAGGCTTCATTTCCAGCTTTCTTACTGGCCCTTCCCTCTCCTGTATCCTATACTCTGGCCCCACAAGAATGTATCATCGTTCTCTATCTTGCATGGATTTCTCTACTTGTACCCTGCCCCTTCTTATGACTAGCCTTTCATTCCCCTCTATTTCTTAGACATTTCTTTCATACTCATCCTTCAAGACTCAGCTGAGAGTCATCTCTTCTGGAAAGCTTTCCTGGATTCTTCCAAGCAGAGTTAACCCCTCTTCCTTCTAGGCCTCCAAAGCATTGTCTGCATAAAATGACTATGATACTCTGTCCTTAGCAGAGACCACATTTTCTTTAAGGGTTCCTCCACTACCAGCCCCCAAGAGCTCTTCTAGGCTTTATTTATTTATTTTTTTTGAGACAGAGTCTTGCTCTGTTGCCCAGGCTGGAGTGCAGTGGTGCAGTCTTGGCTTACTGCAACCTCTGCCTCCCAGGCTCAAGCAATTCTCCCACCTCAGCATCCTGAGTGGCTGGGATCACAGGTGTACACCACAACGCTAATTTTTGTATTTTTGTAAAGATGGGGTTTTGCTGTGTTGCCCAGGCTGGTCTAGAACTTCTGGACTCAAGCAATCTGCCCATCTCAGCTTCCCAAAGTGCTGGGATTACAGGCTTGAGCC